TAAACCCTAAACCCCTAATATAAGGGCTTCAATACTTCACCTATTTTATGTTGGGGGGGGTTCCTTATTATACATTATACGACAAAACCCTATTCTGATTATTAAGGCCCCTATATTAAACCCTAAATCCTTCTAAGAGCTCATCTCCCCGCGCCCCCCCAACCCAAACATCCACGGAGCACCCGCAGACCCTCGGCGAACCCCTCCTCGACGCCAGGGCCACCCGAAACTTACCGAGCCCTCCTGAAGGGTTTAGGGTTTAGGGTTTACGGGTTAAGGGTTTAGGGGGTTTAGGGGGTTTTAGGGGGTTTTAGGGGGTTCTGGGTTTATCGTTTAGGGTTCAGGGTTTAGGGTTTAGGGTTTAGGGCGCCAAGACATGGATGGGGGCGGCCCACTCAACCCAGTAATATCATGACACTCAAAGACGAAGAAACTCCCAAACCAGGGAATACCCCCAATCCTAAAATTCACTGACTAAGCTCTGTCTGCGCCCACCGGTGCATGAACCTATAAACTACGAAGCCTATAACCAAGAAATCCCAAATCGTCAAAACCCCAAGCCCCCAACTCCCGAACCCCAAATGACACTAAACTAAACCACGATGTAGGCCCTTAACCCTTCACGCTTCGCCCTGAACCCCAAACCCCTACACCCCGAAACCCCCAAACCCTAAACCTAAACCCCTGAGCCCTAACCCCTAAACCCCTAAAGCCCTAAACCCCTAAACCCCAAGCGCCAAAACCCCTAAACCCTTGTCCCCTAAACCCTAAACCCCTTATCCCCTAAACCGTAAACCCTAAACCCCTAAACCCTAAACCCAAACCCCTAAACACCAAACCCCTAAACCCTTGTCCCCTAAACCCTAAACCCTAAACCCCTAAACCCTAAACCAAAACCCCTAAACACCAAACCCCTAAACCCTTGTCCCCTAAACCCTAAACCCCTTATCCCCTAAACACTAAACCCCTTATCCCCTAAACCCCTAAACCCTAAACCCCGAAACCCAAAACCCCTAAACCCACCAAACCCCTAAACCCTAAACTCCCTAAATCCCCTAGACCCCTAAACTCTACACCCTAACTCCCTAAACCCCTAAACCTTAAAGAAAAACCCGTAAACGAAGGCCTGTGAGGCGACCATAGAAGTAGAGGATTCCTTTCACCATGCACCTCGTCTCTTTGGGGGCTTAGGCTTTAGGGTATAGGGTTTAGGGTTTAGGGTTGGGGTTAGGGTTTAGGGGATTAGGGTTTAGGGTATAGGGTTTAGGGGATTTGAGAGGGTTTTGGGGTTTGGGGTTTGCGGGTTTAGGGGTTACGGGGATTAGGGTTTAGGTTTAGGGTTTAGGGGATTTGGGCTTCGGGGTTTAGGGGCGAAAGTCTTGTGGTTTAGGGTTTTGGCCTTAGGGGTTCAGGGGTTAGAGAGTTTTGCCCCATTGAACCATCACTACAGATCACGAAATCGATCAACATTTTCTGGCTTGTGGCACGCTGTTTCGCATTTCAGGTTTAGCATAGGAGTCCAGGACAGGGTTCTACTGCTGATGATACAAATCCTGCCCAGAGACTCCAATATCCCGTAATTAA